TGTCAGATTATTTTGAAATAATTTTTATTAATTAATAAATTCTTTAAAATCACATTGTGCTAATTATATTATATTGTATGATTATATGGAGAGAATTCTGTTTAATCACATCTCTATATAATCATCAGATTTTGCTAGATAAACTAGGTGATTGTAGAGGAGGATGACTGTACTAAAAAAAAAATATTAAAAATAAAATAGCAAAACAAAAATTTAAATAAGACTAAAAATACAAACTTATCTATTACTAATCTTATTATATCTTATTGTATTACTAGTAAGGAGAGCACCAGAAATCAGCTGATTTTTTAAAAAGAGAGGGGTAAAAAAAATTATCAGGTATATAATTGTAGCTAATTAAAATTTTTTATTTAAAATCAGGTAGGGGGGAAGGGGGTAGCCTCTTAATAAAAAAATATTAGCTGATAAATGGTCTTTCCCTAATATATAATTATCTATATAGGATATAACTTTAAAACAAAATGAATATCTATTATCTTTTTTTTTCTATATATTGATAGTCTTGTTAGTATATTTATTAAATCAAAGCAAATATACAAGTATATTTTAAACTATCTAAATTACAGATTCAACATCACTTGGCTACAGTCTGCCTCACTAGTTAAAGCTATTATCTGTATTAGAAAACTACACCAAGCTAGCTAGCAAAACTATAATTAGATAGTTTTATTTTAAAAGAATTTTTATCTATATTTAATTAGCAATTTCTCTTTTTTAATCTATTCTTTTCTTTAAAATAACAATCTAATTCTAATTTTATATTAATATCTAATTTTATTTTAACTTTATTTAATTGGTAATTTGCTAGTCACCTGATATATAATCATAGTGTAATATAATAACAAATTACTATATAAATCACATATATTTCAAATATGGTATTTATTCAAGAAAACTTTTTTTACTAAGTTAATTATTTTACTTTTTTGAATTAAATAAAAATTGTAGAGCTTGTCAAAGCACATCTAACAGTAATAAAATTATCAAAAATGGTTTAGTAGTTTTTAAGATATTATTAAAAATAATTGGCTAATTATATAAAATTTTATATAAACAAACTATTGTTTATATAAAAATTTTACATAGTTAGTCAATTATTTTTTAGTAATATCTTGACAACTACTATTGGCCACTGTTTACAGTACCCAGGATCTTATTCAAGAACATTATTTTTAAAATTAAATAGTACCGGGTACTATTCACGAATCCAGTGATCTTATTGGTAGAGGAGGGTGTACTTTATGTGGTAGAATACTATTTTTGGGGATACTGTAAGCAGTGGCAAATGGTACTAGACTGTTTTTGATAATCTTATTACTGTTAGATATGCCTTGATAAGCTCTACAATTTTCATTTAATTCAGAAAAGTAATTAACTTAGTAATAAAAAGTTTTTTTTTAAGTAAATATTATATTTAAAGTATATATGATTTATATAGTGATCTATATCATATTATACTATAATTATATACTAAATAACTGGCAAATTACTAATTAAAGTTTACTGTTAAAATTTTTTTGATTATATTTACACTTCCTTTTCTTTTCTTTTAATTCTTTCTGACTCTTTTGATTAGAAACCTAGCTTAATAATACAAATCAATGAAAATTTTTTAATCGATTAGTTGATAAATCATTTTATTTAACTAATTGATTAATTGGTTTTTATTTAACTAATTGATTAGTTGGCCAGTCAATTAGTCAACTAATTGATTAATCAATTAATCAACTAGCAAACTAATCAATTAGTTAAATAAATAATAAATGAAATTGGTAAAATATATATAAGATAGCAACTAAAATAGCTAGTTAATATTCTTATATAATTAGTTAATATAATTGACTAATTAACTAGGCAATAAATTGACTAATTAACTAATCAATTAATTGATTAGTTGGCTAATCAATTAATCAATTAGTCAACTAATTGATTAAGGGTAAGGTATTTGTTTATATATTTTTTTCATGCAATGCACAAATAAATATGCATATACAACCAAATATACAATTATAATTGGTTAATTTTGCAGATCATTAAATTTTAATTGGTTTATTTTCATGCTATACGCAAACAAATGGTAAACAAATACCCTACCCTAAACCCAAATTATCCAGAAAATAGTATATTTTTATTAATGAGTATTTTGTTAGGTCAAAGCTTCTAGATCGCTCTGAAAATTTAAATATAAATAGTACAAACTTAATGAAATAACATCGTATGAAATGCGGGAACTTATCTATAATAAAAATTTTTTTTGATTTTTAATTAATAGTGATCAAAGATAATCACTGTACTACTAATAGTAATCACAATGTCATGTGCTACTATCATATGATATAAAATTATGAGTTGATTTGCAAAATGGCAAACTTTAATTCTAACTTAGGATAGGGGATACTATTGCTTAGAATAATTAAGCACAATCGTACAAAATCAAAAAAAAAATTTTAGCAAGCAAATTTAACCATTGTAAAGTTTTATATTTGAATCCAGCTAGCGAACAGTAAACCCTGCTACTCAGGGTTACAATTACATGCTAATATGTAATTTTATAAAATATTAGTTAGTAACAATATTGTAATATTTATTATTACTTGTATTATCTACTTAAAAGATTTTTCACTAGAGCTCAAAATTAGAAAGGAGAAATGTTAACCCCTGTAATTAGTATTATATAACAAATTAACCACAATATAACACCAATGCAAGGGATGCTGTAATAGCACTAGTAGCGATAGTAGCGATAGTAGCACTAGTAGCGCTAGTACTAACAGCTTCTATAAATCTAGTGGTTCTAGCAAAAATATAATTTATAAAAATTAGTAACAGAAATCGAAGGTTCAAAAGATATAAATAGCCTCAGATATTTCTCTTGTAAGGAACAGAACTCGAAGTTCCAACAACTTAAGAGTAATCGTGTCTTCATGCACGAATAGCTTGAATACTTTATTGAATAAATCATAACTCTGTTATAATGTCTTCATACACGAATAACTTGAGTATAATAATAAACTTGTTTATACGACTACTTGCATCTTCATATACATTTAGCCGTTTGCCTCTTTCGTAACTGCAAATCACTTAAAGCGTAACTGCAATAAACTCTATTACTTAAGCATAAATCGGTATTAATATCAATCCGTCGCCAAAGTAAAACCGTTATACGTACCGAACTTGTAAGAGGTAGTTTCGGGTGTAACAGTACTCCATGAAATTATATATAATTGGCGCACCCGAATAGATTAGTGGGTCCACCAAAATTCACGCAAAGTGGCATTAAGCAATAATACCGGCCGACTATATTATACGTAGCAAAATTATCATTTGGGCTTTACTTAGTGCATAGGCTGCCACTTTATTAGTAAAATTTTGGGTGATTTTAGAAAAAATCTATTAATTCCGGCCTATTCCGACCCAAATTCGGGCCGATTTGCTGAATTTTGGTGGACCCACTAATCTACTCGGCGGACCCGAACCTGGGGTGATTGGATTTCCTTATCCAAATCAGCCGTAAATTATATTTCGCATATTTCTATCTGATTCGCATAATCTGCTTCACATAAATCGAATTGTAAAGCAGAATTTGGGATCGGTCGCAGCAGAAAATGAGGTACCCTATATATGCCGTAGGTGAATTTAGAATTCTATGAATTTGGATTCCACTTGGATCTCAAATCCAAGATCAACTTATATTGATTTCTTATAAATAAGACATTTTCGAAAAATTCTTAAGCCTTTATTTCATAAATCATTTGTAATTCTCTCAATAGAAACATATCGTTTACAATGAAAAGCAATAATCATGCCATCTGGATCAACAAATATAAGTTTGTCAAAATAAAATTATTAGCGTAGGAGTAACTACAAGAATATAAACAACGCCAATATAGAAGTAAATATAAAAATTCTTATAGATGTGAACGTTCAATTTGTGCGACAAAAAATATCTAGGATGTTTATAATTCGAGAATGGAATGGCTGCTTAAATAGATGTTACAATTTGAAGCATTAATTTAAACACAATATCATCAGTCATTCTTGGAATGTGCCATCGATATCTCAAGGGCGGGTAAGTCTTTATGAATGATTTTGGATTTAAGTTAATACTTCGAACCTTAGCATTCGTTTAAGCCAAAATAAAAGTTCAGTAACTTTTTTATGATACGAGCACTGTGTTGTAAATAATGATGGATAATTTGTTTTTCGATTTTCGCTACTGCAAAATTTAACATGTATATTTAAGAACTATTGATCCGTTTTCGATGGTTTTGTCTTAATGAATCTTAAGGTTTGTAGCATTCGTTCAAGCCCAAATTCACTGATAATGGACAAACCATTCTCAAATTACTTTAATATTTTGCCGGATATTTCTGTCGCATACTTTAGATAGGGAATAAAACCTTCTAAAGGTATAGAGATCAGACACAAGACACAAGATTATAACATTATTTTCAAACTAGTGCATATTTCTTACCATCAAAATTTATCGAAAATTTGTTTCGCTTTGCCATTTTTAAAATTTCATTTGGGTAGATTTAGAATCCACCAACAGTACAGCAAATATTTTGTATTTTAAAATGCGTAACATTATATACAATATGATAGAATTTAATTATTTAAATTTTCTATATAATACAATTTTTAATTCGTTTAATAAATTTACTATTCTCAGACTCTATAACTAAATTTACATTCAATCAAGTATATTATTTAGTAAACTCAAATCATTCAAATCAATCACGTAACCTACTAAACATTAATCTTGTCGAAAAAAAAAATACAACAAAATCACAAAATTATATGGTTTATTAAATTGAGGTTAATTTGTATGTATGCACATGTGTTTTGATTTTTAAAGTCTGTTCAATTAATCGGAAAACAAAAATAAATATTCAAATTAAACCTGAACCCCACCTTCTAAAGGTATTCCTGCTAAACTACTAAGATCACCTGATCCTGTACCAATTCCATCTTGGCTTTCTCTTTCCATTTGATTGGCTAACTCAACAGCAGCTGGTTTAACCCATTCTGGTGGTTCCGCAACACATTTGGTGACTGGGTCTACCCAGCCTTCATATCTTTCAAATACTGTATAATCAAATGGCTTAAATTTCTCTTCAATCAATTGATATTGTGCTTCTTTTTCAGATCCTTCACCATCCTTATATTTTCTAGGTTTTCGTCGGCGTGATTTCGCTTCCAGCGGTTGTTCTTCCAAAAGCAATTCTTCTAAATCATATGTAGCGTCAAAATTGATTCTATCTGATGAAGGGCGAAATATTGGATTTAAACTCTTATTTTCCAACGATGACCAATCAATGTTACGAAAAAATGTGTGGTTTTGAATAAAAGCAAACCCATTAGGGCCACAGCCCAAACGCTTTGTAATGTCTCGTTCAAGAAACTAAGATAGCATGCAATTGATCATGTTTAATCATGTTAACTGTAAAATTATTAAATAACAAATAGGGAACTTACACCTTGAATTGCAGAGATGCAAGAAGGACTAACAGGTGGATCCATGTCAGGATATTTGATCGGTGCTTTGACGATCATTTTCTTTAACTCTTCTTGGTTATCACATTCAAACGGACGCTAAAAAATTTTTAGTTTAATTGCTTAATTTTACGTCTCTTGTTCGAACCTAGAAGATATTACATACACACCCTTCCATATATACACTCATAAAACATAACGCCAAGTGACCACCAATCGACCGTAACGCCATAGCCACCCCCTCTGAACACTTCTGGAGCTATTGTTCAAAAACAAAGGTTATAAAAAGAAATCAATGAAAAAAAAAAGTGTATAGTTAGTTGTAAGCAAACTGACCCATATAGGCACAAGTGCCCGAATGTGACGTCAGCGGTCTATCTGTCCTTATATGTGTTGCAATATTGAAATCTGTTAAATGGGCGTGGCCTCGGTCATCAAGAAGAACATTATCCGGTTTAATATCTCTGAAATATACAATTAATATTAATCGACTATATATTTAATGAAATTACAGTGACTAATATATTACCTATGAACAACTCTTTTTGAATGTAGATATCTTATCGCACATGCTAACTCCGCTATCCAAAATCGAATCGCATCCTCGGTGAATGTTTTACGATTTAAATGAAATCTCAAATCACCGCCCATCCTGCAAAGATACAATTTCTAGATCAATTAAGGAAGCAAGAGCAAGGAAAGTAACATGAAATATCAATCTATTTAAGAACATACATAAGATCCATAACCATGTACATATATTCATCGTCCTGGAATGCAAAACGTAGATTGCATACCAACGGATGATCCAATTCTTCCAACATCGATCGTTCCCTAAGTACATTACGCAGCGCATCCATCTTTATGCATTCTTCCTTTGAAATATACTTTAATGCAAAGAGTTTTTTGTTATCACGTCTTTCAACAATTCGAACCTGTGAAAAAAAATAAATATCAAATTATGAATTAAAATGTGAAATAATATTCTATCTAAGAACACAAATAAGTACCTTTCCGAATGCTCCTCGACCAACAACACGTAATAATTTAAAGTGGTCAAGGTTGGCTTTTTTTTTTGTTGAAAAAAAAATAAAAAGATATTAATATTTAAAATCTGCAAATCAGGAAGAAAATTTCCCTGATGCAGTGGACACAAACCTTCTTCTGTGAAATCAACATCATATTTTCCATTCGTAACACCCATTTTATTATCAGTAAAAAAAAGAAGTCGCCAAGCACGAGAACTAACCAAGCCGAATATTATTTTTATTCCTCCTTGTTGGCTGATATCTTTTTTTTTGAAGTTTTATTAGTTTACGCTCTAATATAATTACGCTCGGCAAGGCATGTTGTTCAGCTCAACTGAAAAGTTCCCAAAGATTGACAAAATTCTAAAAAATTGGTGAAATAGCTGAAAATAGAGGTTGGAACCGGTTTTAATAAAATATCTCAAAATTCACGTGATAAACTCGAATTATTAAAATCGGTTCCTGAAGGCTTTCTTTGATGATTGTTGAGTGGCAATTCTGTAACACCATACGAGTCTTTGAAAGAACTAAAAATAGTCCTAACGTCAAATTCTGAAACTTCAAAATTATTTTACATTGATCGTGATGTGATAAATTATCGGAAGGCTAATTTTGTAATTTGTGGCACAATCTCATTCTTTATTAGTTTTATTAAGCGAAGAATTGAAAATTATTAGCCATAGAACATGTCTTCTTACGAAGGTTTGAAATGTAATACGTACGTACTTATTGGTAAAATAATATCTTTGTATATACTTTGATTTGCCGAATAAAACCAAAACATTCAAGATTGCTTATACTCGGGTATAATTTTATAAACAAAATACTTTCTATCAGATTTAGGGTCAGTAAAAAAAACAGTTTCACCGATTTAAAATAGGTTGAATGTTTTTAAGACTTATTCAGAATCGGGAGAGTTGCTTTCCGGTAACCATCATAAGAAAATATATACTTTAAAATTTTAAATTTATATAAAAATATAAATTTTAGAGTGCATGAAACGGTTATACGTAGCTATATATTATATTTCAAAAACCAATTATAGTTAACTCTTTCTAAATGCAACTGTTTAAAGTACAATCTTTCTAAGCTACCCAGTAGGATGGCTTTACAAACTCTTAACAAAATTGTATTTTATTAATCAATTCGAAACATTTTTAAAACTTCTAGCAATGATTTCTCAATAACTACTCGATCAAATTCGGTGAAAGTTTTTTTATTTTAATTCTATACGTTTGTAGAATTAAAATAAAAAAATATTCATTGAAATTGGTTTAGTTATCGAGAAATCTTCGCTAAAAGTTTTAAAAAATTTTAGAATATCGGAAAAAAAAGGTAAATTTTTTTTTTGAACTTTATACGAAAATTTCTCAACAGCCATCTATCCAAATTCGAGGAAATATTTTTTATTTGAATTCTGTGAACTCATAGAATTAAAATAAAAAATTTTCATCGAATTTGGACATCTGGTTGTCGAGAAATATTCATTAAAATTTAAAAAAAAAAATTAGTTGTAGCTTCTTTTTTATAGATAATTAAGCTTTGAACGAGTTAATTAAAATAAAAAAAATTTGATCGAATTTAATCAGAGTAATTTTTATTCAAAGTTTAGGTATTTATAAAAAAAAAACTGATATTATAAATTTTTTTTTAATTTTAATAAATATTTTTTAACAACCAGCTATCCAAATTAGATTTATTTTTTTTTATTTTAATTCTATAAACACAGAATTAATAGCTATCCATTTGTTGTATTAAATGTAGTACAGTTTTAAAAAGTAAATTGTAAAAAATTTTTATTATTAACTTAAAATTAAATTTATTCAATATAATTCTTTATTTATATTTTAATTTAATATATTTAAAAGTTAGCTAACTTAACAATATATATTAACAAGTCTAAAAATTTAAGATCAATTTTTTTTACTATTAAAAATCTTAAAAATTTTACAAAGAATTAATATATATGTATCCTTAAAGGTATATTAAAATTTTTTATATCCATGTCCCCGTGTAATATAATAATCAGGAGTATATAAACAATGAATATCATAAGTTTTTTTAATAGTTAATTGATTTATTTTAGGAGTCGCAGGTTTTGGAGTCATGCTATATCGTCTTCTCATTGTAGTTTTTGGCACTGTTATTTCGTGGTTTCACATCACCATATCACAGATATGCATCATCATTGTTGGTATTATTATACATGATTTCGTCATTCACTGTTGTTACTTTAATGGAGTATTTATTAATGTTCTACGTTTTGTCGCTTTTGGCATTCTTATAAATGTAGATTTTGCTGCTTGTTGTAGTTTGTTGTTTTTGTTTTGTCTTGGATATGAAGTTTGCTATTTAAGGTTAGTATGGATTTCATTGTTTGTGATATTGGCATAATTTGTTTTTTTTTGTAAATACATTTTACAAGAACTTTTACTGTATTGTGATAATTTTGAAGGAAAAGCATTAACAACTGCGCCTAAAAGAAATAGTTGAAAAATAGTTCAAAATCTAATAAAACCTTTTTGTTAAAGCACAAAAGGTTGTTTCTTATGTTGATTTTTGAGATATGAGCTATTTCTTGGCAGAACGAACATTTTTTTTGAATCTTCCTGATCGTTTTATATTACACTTAATCTTGAATTCTTAAAATCCGTTAATATTAGTATTAGGGTCAGAGTTAGAATTTAGAGAGGAGTTGTTGATATAGTAAAATTGTTTAATGAATAACTATACAAGGTTTATTAAATTTCTTGATTTA